GAAATGCAAATCAAAATTACTCTAAGATTTCATCTCACTTCAGTCAGAATGGCCATTATAAAGAATACAAACAACAATAAGTGTTGGTGAGGATGTGTGGATGTTAGAGTCTGTAAACAAGTCAGGATGGCTCCTGGCATTTTGCCAGAGAAATGTTAGAGTCTGTAAACAAGTCTGGATGGTGCCTGGCAAAATGCCAGAGGGAAAATGCCAGGAGCCATCCTGACTTGTTTACAGACTCTAACATGTGGAAAAAGGCACACTCATACATTGCTAGTGGGACTTCAAAGTGGTACAGCCAATATGGAAAGCAGTATGGAGAATCCTTGGAAAACTGGTAATGGAACCACCATTTGACCCGGCTATCCCACTCCTTGGTTTATACCCAAAGGACTTAAAATCAGCATACTATAATGATGGAGCCACATCAATGTTTATAGTAGCTCAATTCACAATAGCTAAACAATTGATCTAATCTAGATGCCCTTCAACAGATGAATGGATAAAAAAGTGATAATATACACAATGAAATAAGACTCAGCCTTAAAGAAGAATGAAATTATGGTATTTGCAGGTAAATGGATGGAACTAGAGAATATCATGCTAAGTGAAATAAGTTAATCTCCCAAAACCAAAGTCTGAATGTGTTCTCTGATCAGCAGATGCTGATTCATAGTAGGGGGAGGGTAGGGAAGAATGAAGGAACTTTGTATGGTGCAGAGGGGAGTGAGGTGAGGGCTGCGGCTGTAGGGATGGAAAGGACAGTAAAATGAGGCAGACATTATTACTCTATATATATGTATGATTACACTAGTGGTATGACTGCACCATTTTCAGCCAGAGGAATGAGAAATTGTGTTCCATTTGTGTACAAAGTGTCAAAATGCATTCTACTGTGATGTATAACTAATTAGAACAAATTAAAAACTTTTTAAAAAATAAAAAAAAGAAAGGGCTGTATTTAAGTAAACTTAAAAAAAAAGAGAGAAGAGACAATTAGGACACTGACACATATAGAGGGAAGATCACATGAAGACAGAGAAGGCAACCATCTACCAGCCAAGGACAGGGGCCTCAGAGGAAACCAGCCCTGCTCACACCTTGGTCTTGATGTCTAGATTCCAGGACTGTGAGAAAATAAATTTTTGTTATTGAAGCCATCCAGTCTCTGATACTTTGTTATGGCAGCCCCAGTGAACTAAAGACTACTACGGGTGTTTGTGTCCTAGAATCTTGCAGAAACTTGGATATCATTTTCATTCCATAATATTGGGGAAGAAAAATCCTTTTGTAAATAAAAATTAAGGAAACAAAAAAATTTATCAAAACCAGGAAATTAACATTCAATCAACACTATAATCTACAGACTTTATTCAAAGTATTCCAGTTGTCCCAGTAATATTTTTTTAGAGGAGAAAGATTGCTTCTGGTTCAGGATCCCATCCAAGATCCCACATTGCATTTAGTTACCATGTCTTTAGTTTCCTTTAATATGGAGCAATACCCAATCTTTCTTTGCTTTTCCTGAACTTGATGTTTTGAAGAGTTCAAGTGAAGTATTTTGTACAATAACCCTCAATTTGTATTTGTCTGATGTTCCTCATGATTAGATTTAGATTAGGCATTTTTTTGGTACTCTATGTATTTTGGCACCTTATTTTTTGACATTTGACAGTATTTCCTGTGGATCCTTTCATATCAGTACATAGAGTTTCTTCATTCCTTTTGCTCTCTCTTTTCCTTCCTCTTCTGAAACACATTATGTGTATGTTGGTACACTTTATAATGATCAATGTTCATTTTCTTTAATTCTTTTTCAATACCTGCTCCTATGACTGGATAATCTCAATTGACTTATCTTCAAGCTTTCTGATTCTTTCTTCCACTTACTCAAACATTTTTGAACTTCTCTAGTAAATTTTTCATTACTGCACTTACCTCCCAGGTTCCTGTCATTTTTTTGTAATTTATATTTCTATTGGTATACTCTATTTGTTGAGACATTGTATTTGTGGTTCTTCTTTTGGACATGGTTTCTTTTAGTTCTTTGTTAATACATGAAATAGTTGATTAAGAATTTTGCCTATTTAATGTATCTAATGTAGATTATGGCCTGTTGCTATTACTTTTTGCCTGCACATGAGCTGTACTTTCTTATTTCTTAGCCTACCTTGTAATTTTTTGTTGAAAATTGGACATTTAAGTATTATAAGATGTGTCAACTCTAGAAATCTGATTGTGCCTCTCCCCAGGGCTCACTATTGCTTTTTCTAGTACTTACTGGTTGATCATTTATTGACTTATATGAATTATTTTTAAAAATTGTGTAAAATACACAAAATATAAAATCTATCACTTTATTGATTTTTAAGTGCACAGTTTTGCAGTGTTAAGTGCATTCATATTACTATACAATTATTACATCTCTAAAACTTTTTCCTCTTCCCAAACTGAGATTCCTATCCCATTAAACAATAAGACTCCATCCTTATTGTTCTGCTTGGGCCCTTGAAACCCCTATTCTACTTTTTTCTCTATGAATTTCACTACTCTGGGTTCCTCATACAATTTGAACTAATGTTTTTATTGCTTGTCATGTGGGGATACAGGTCACTGTGATGATCACTGCTTAGTAATGAGAAAACCAAAACAGGAAAAAAGAAAAAGAAAAATCTTCCCATGTTTGCAGATGGGTTCTTGGTTTATTGAATATGTTCCCTTTCTGTTCTAGCAGAGCAGAAAGTCAGCTAGATGTGAGGATTTGGGACTCTTATAGGTCTTTTCTGAGCATGCTCCAAACTCTTGGCATGGATGTGGTCTTCTGTGTTCCCAGAAATCTGTGGGAGCTTTTCAAACTCTTATTCCCCTGAATATCTCATTCCCCTACCCTTTCCTTCAAAGCTTTTCAGATTGTCTGCCTTCCTTGTTATCTTTTGCCCCAAGTGGCAGTCTAGTTCATTTGCCTTCAAATATTTCCCACCAATATTGACTCCTTTCCTCAAAGTAGCTGTCACAATTTCAGGGAGCCAAAAGACAGCTCAAAACAAACCACCACAATTCTTTGAGAATAAGGTCTGTACTGCTTCTTTTGAGAATAGGAACCAGGACAAGAAATGGGGCTATTATGGGATGTGGACATTTAAAACGTCACAATGAGAGGCTGGGTTTGTGGCTCAGTGGTACAGTGCTTGCCTAGCATGTGTGAGGCCCTGGGTTCGATTCTTAGCACCACATATAAATAAAATAAAGGTCCATTGACAATTAAAAAATATATTTTTAAATCGTTAATGAACCTTTATTATATTTATATATATTTTATATTTATTATATATATATAATGTGTATGTGTATGTGTGTGTATATATATATATATATATATATATATATATATATATATATATATATATTGTTACAACAATCCAGGCACAGTGAGGTGCATGCCTGTAATCATAGCGAATCTAGGGGCTGAAGCAAGAGGATGGCACTTTCAAAGCCAGCCTCAGCAATTTAATGAGACCCTAAGAAACTTTAGCTGAGATCCTGTCTCAAAATAAAAATGGCTGAGGATGTGGCTTAGTGGTTAAGTGCCACTGGGTTAAATTCACAGTACCCCCCACAACAAATTTTTTTTACAAAGCTTTCTTACTGAGCCTTAACTATTTTTTCTTAATTAAATGTTCCCCTGATCAGTAGCTTTTGGTTGTATTCCAGAATTCCACATAACTTGGTTCTGATGGTTACTTGTTGCTATTGTGGGGGTACAGACTTTTGGAGTTCTCTGCCATTATTGTTGACATCACTCCCTCTCATTTTATGTTTTTAACTACATAGAATTCCAAATTTCAGTGGACAGAGATATACTAATCAGTTCTCCACTGATGATGAATTGTTTCCAATTTTTACTAATGTAAACTATACTTCAGTGAATAATTTTGCACATTATTTTGCATGTATGCAATGAAATGCATAGGAGAAATCTCAGAAGTGGTATTGCTGCAAGAGTATATGTATTTTGTAATTTTTATAACTATTGCAAAAAGGCTTTATCATTTTACACTCCCATCATGAGAATTCCTGTATCCCCATAGTCTTATCAACAAAATACTTTATCAAACTTCTGTACTTTTGTCTAACTAGCAAAAAATAGTATTTCAGTGTGGTTTTAATTTCTATTTTATTTTGAGTGAAACTGTGGATATATTTTTGTATTTTTTGAAGATACATTTGTGTTTCCTTTTATGTGAATTTTCTGATATGTTTTATCAGTCTTTTATAGGACTATAGTTTTTCCATATTGTTTTCTAGGAGTTCCTTATGTTAGTGTGATCTCACTTTAAATACATGACCATTGATCTTAATTAAGCATTTATGATGCAGAGCAATCTTTCTATTTCCCTAATACATTTATCAATTCATTTTCCTATGCATTTTTATTTTCTCCTTAAACTTTCAATAGCTTTTCCTCCAGATTATCCTTCATCTTATATTATGTTTCACTGAGAAAAATCAATGGCCTTACCCAGAGGCCACCAGGAACATATCTGTAGTTGAATAACACTGGATTTATTGATTTTGAGACAAGGTGTAAGTACCCGATAGAAAACCATGAGGACATCTCAATGAAAGGGTATTAACGGAACAAGACTTTTCCAGGCAATTAACTTTCTTGCACATTGTAGCAGGGTATGCATTTATGATAGGCACTGAAGTTTGAGGTTGGGAACTAAGGATCATCCTGATTCCTACTAAAGAGTAGCCTCCTGCTTAACAAATCAACCCTCTTCAGGAGTGAGCGAAACGCAGCGGTTCTCAATTGCCACCAGAGGGCGCAAGGCACTCCTGGAGGTACCACTCGGTGGTACTTCCAAGGGCCGGCGGGGTCCAGAGCTCAGAGCGCGCGCTAGTGGTGGGTGCCGGGCACGCGCCTGACCGCCCCCTGCCTTAGGGAGGGGGGCTCTCAGGGGCGCGTGCGCGGTTCCGCTGCGGCGGAGGCAGCCGCGATGGAGGACGCTCTGACTGAACGCCAGGTAAGCGGCGTCCGTGGGGCGGGTTCCCAAGCGCCGGCTTTACCCAGCAGTTTTCCTGTCAATGGTTGTTTGAACCGTCTCAGATTATGATAATTAATTCCTTCCTTCCCTTTTCTCGGGGCTCTTTGGAGTAATTTGGAAAGTTGTTACCAAGGAAACGGTTTCCTTTGCTTCCCGAGAGCCTTTCCCCTCTGGGCGATGGAGGGAACGTCTGCTTCTCTGGGGAGGTTGCATGCTTGAATTGGTCCCCAAATGTACTAGTCCAGATGTCTCAGCCCCAGGCCCCATTGAGTCTGGCTCCACTGTTGTGATTTTGACCTGGTATCACATTTTTCCAGTTTCACCGGCTTCCCTTCACTATCAGCCCTTGATAAAAGGGCTCCCATACTTTAAATCTCTGTCCTGTCCACCAAGTTTTGGTTTAAACTAGTCTTGTCATTTGTTTACTACCTTATTAATTGAAAAACTTGCTTATCAGTCTTCAAGGTGAAAGCCTTTGGTTGGATGGGTGCCTACATTTCTTAACACTATCCTCATCACATTTACATTGGTTGGGTGTATATATTTTACTTTTAGAAAATTAAAATCAGTGCTAGACCTTTCAGTAGTATTTTAATTTACCAAAGGATAGAGGCACTCAAATAATTGTTGAATGATCAAGTGAATGAATGTTTTATTTCATTTGATTCTCAAAAAATTACTGTGAAATAGAGAAGATAGTTACTCATCAACCTAGTCATTCATTCATTCACTCAACTATGTTCCAGCCCCACCCTGTCAGTCTCTTGGAAGGCCTCTCAAGATCAAGGAAAGAAGACTTGATGTTCAGGATAAGAGGGTAAACAACACAGATATAATCCCTGCCTTCAATGAGCTTATTGTCTCATTAGAGAGAGTTATAACCTATACAGTAGAGTTGAGGAGACAGACTTAGAATGACTGAGTAACTTTACCATGGACCACACAGCCAAAACTCAAGGGAAGTAGGAATCTGTTTTAGCCACCCTAGAAACCAAAACGGACTCCCCATAAAATTTGATTCAACTGTAGAACTGATGATGCCATACAGAAACCATGAGGGTTGAAGTGGTCTATTACTTGGAGGTCTCTGGTGGACCTCTTAAGAGCAAGGAAAGAACACTGGCTCCAGGTTTTTACTGTGATTAGGAAGTGGAGCTTGGTAAGGGTTTCTTGGTAAGAGAGAGCTTGGTTGGTGTGAATCTCCCTGCTACTCCAAAGGAAAGAGCACTCAGACTTTCTTATCAACACGTCCTGAAGAAGAAGAGGGAGGAGTGAGGCTTTAAAGCTGTCTGCAAGCAAGCCTAAGGATATTGAATCATTGAATCCTCATTAAGTTCACCCCTGTAATGACTGAAATGTACCATTTTTCATTTAATTAAATTTGAACTCTTGTAAGAAAGCCATTGTGGCTCTTTATGGGGCCTGCTGCATGAAACCAGTGAGAAAAGTGAAAGTTCCATAAAAATCATTGTTCACGATTCCATTTTGAGAAAGAATATGAGTGTCTTGATCATTATTGGTAATGTCTAGAACTCTGAAGGGATAAGGAGTGTCTTGGTGGGAGGCCTTGTGTTATGGATTTATTTTATGCAGATATATGTGTGACCTTGATTTATATTTTGGATATAAACCCTTAAAGCAAGGGTTTCAAGAGTTCTTTCCCCAAAGGGTGCAACTCTCAGGTAATGACCCTATAATCTGTAAAAATGTAGAGATGTAGTCAATTGTTGCCCAGAGTATTCAGTATTAAGATGACTTACAGAAGTTAAGCAAGTTGTACTTTATCAGGGACATTATAGTTAAGGGATGAGAAGCAAAAGTTCACCATAAAATTCCATCACACATTATGGTGATGCTTAATATTGTCCGTAAAGTGTACAAACTCCCATTGCCCTTCACTATTTGAACCCAAGGTGCTCCTCAGATAGACAAAGGATCCAGGAGAGGGGTTACCTCTTTCAGTACCCTGACATCCATGTAGTCAGTGAGGACAGGGGAGGTCATGCCCTGCTTCAGTAGATTTGCCAGAAGGCCCTATTTGGCTCAATTAAGACCTTGCCTGTAAAGTTTGCAAATGGTGACAAAACTCTGGGAGCACATCAACAGTCCTTCTGGGTGAAGGTAAACTGACAGGTAATTGAAAGAGGTGTGGAACAGAACATATTAGCCAAGTCTATTAGAGCAAAATATTTACTACTTGTAATTTTAATAGTGCAGTATAGGGCTGTAGCATCAAGGATGCAGTAACCAACTGTGAGGCACCATTCCTTCTTTGCAAGTTGAATAAACCAAATAAGGCTGCTAAGTTGAAAAGTGGTGGGGATAATCACTCTTACTAATTAAGTCTTAGTTTCAAACCTTGAGAGCCCTGTTTTATTTTATACTGGGTTACATTAACTAGGGGAATGGTAGTACATAGGGGTACTGCTCTTTTTTTTTTTTTAACCATTTTTTTATTCTTACCAGCAATGCACAAGATTGCAAGTTTTCTTTTTCTTTTTTAGTTGTTGGTTAACCTTTATTTTATTTGTTTATATGTGGTGCTGAGAATTGAACCCAGTGCCTCACACATACTAGGCAAGTGCTCCAGCACTGAGCCACAACTCCAGCCCAGGGTCCTGCTCTTTTAAAAGGCATTTTGTAAGCTCCAAAGACTTTATTTTAATTTATTATACATTGGGTCATAGTGTCCGTGACCACTAGTGATATTTTAGGGTAATGTATGTTATGACCATGAACAATTTCACAGCAAGACATAGCTCTCATGGTGAAGGTAAAAAATGCCTTACAACCTTTGCTGTCTATGTTGAATAACTCCCCTAAGATTACAAGTGAAATTTTGTTTAAATTTAGTGGGACCTCAAGGTATAACTCTAATTTGAGTCCCAGTGTTGATTAAAGCCAACTGATGCATTTCAGTGGAAATTGAAGTTAATTCAGAACCTGTGTTGTAGAGGCACAAAGTTAATCTTTTGTTATATAAATTATTTTAATAAATATTGTATTTCTAATTAGGTCAAATTATGGATTTGTTTCAGATTTGTTTGTTTCCTTTATGTGTCTAGGTTTCTCTTTCTCCTTCTCTTTCTGGTGGTTACTGAATAAATTTCCTGTGAAGTAGGTCCTCTCTATCCTTTTATGTTTTCAGATTTCTTCCTTCAGACCACTTCACGTCAGTTTCACTGGGGATAGGGACTTCTTGCATGTCTATGGTTACTTCACAGGGTTTGAGAACTCTGAGCTGTTGGCAGCAGCAGTAGTAGGAGAGATATTTAAGGGTAATGGTGAGTCACGTGTTCTCATAATGGTTACTTCACACCTTCTCTTTCCTTTTATTTTATTTTTTTAAATTTCGACAGCTCTTTAATGAGCAACTACCAGTGGTCCCTTATCTTGCACAAAGTATAATCATTTCTCTGAGCATTCTATAGATTAGGGCCACTGCCTGGTTGAAACATATGATTCATTAATTTTTTAACTCTGTTGTTTGTATAAATAAGGGCTTATTTATTATTTTTCTCTTCCAATGGACAGTGAGGTTTCAACTTCAGTGTTAATAAACATCTTGTATTGCATGTACATATTAAATTGGAGTGTTGTAGTATATGCCTATCTTAGACTCTACTGGGTATTGCAGATTGTTCTCCAAAGTGATTGTACCAGTTGATACTCCCACTGAATTGTAGTTTTACTCTTTGTTGTTCCAAGAAACTGTAAACTCTGGAGGCAAAGGTCTTTGTTTTATTCATCTTTATATCCCTTGTGCCAACCAAACTACTAACAAATAGTAATAGTTGGAAGATTGTTGCATGTATAAATGATGAACTATAGAAGCAAATATATTAATTTCTATCTTATGAAAGTTTAAATATTTATCTTTAAATAATAACTTGTTTTGAACATTAATTATTTTTAAAATGGACATTTCTCAATAAGTAATTAAAATTGTTTGATATTTGTTTCCAGGAAACAAATGAAGGGGATTCAAGCCTTGCCACCGAGTTACAGGAGGAGACAGAGGAGAATCCTAGTCCAGCTGTGGATGAGAGTAGTATAGTGTCAACTAAAAAACAGGGACCAAATTTACATAACTGGAGTGGTGACTGGAGCTTTTGGGTAATATTTTTATTTTTTATATTTCCATTTCAACCTTGAATGAAAATTTTCTTTGACTCTACAACAGTTCATATAATATTTATAATATTTTCTGTTAGCTCCTAGACTTTAGACATTCTGATTTTAGACTGGAGTCCCAAAGACATTTCTGACTATGCCCTCCTTTTACCACTAGAATGCACTGTTGTTTGGTTTGATGAGTAGAATAGTCTGCTTTAATTTCCTTGTGAGAAAACTGCAACACAGAAATAAATTCCACTTACATTGTCATAAACTATATTGGCAAGAAACTAACATTATATAAGCCATATTTCTAAGCATTATGGGAAAACCAGCTATTTTAATATAATTTTTATTTAAAGAATTAGTTCCTGTGCTTAAAAGGAAGTTTAATAATGTTCAGCCTGTAATGTGTAATAACTATAAGATGCATTTTAAAGTTAGGAGTTTTAAATTTTATTTATGGTATATTCACTTGGTTGTATAACCTCTATATGCTTTAAGTTTTCCATTTTGTGGGGTAGGCACATTGAGATCTTAGTGTCTTTTTATAAGAATGTTTCTGTTCATCTATGAATGCTAGCATTTATTATGTTAAAAGCCTCCTTCTACATCTAGCAATTCTTATGAGACTTATGAAACATTTGATGGAACCTAGTATAACACAACTATAAGTGAAATTTGTATAAGATCATAAGGCATATGTAGTTCTAATGTTAGAACATTAGAAAGCTGACTTCTTGAAGATTAGGAATATTTGAAAATAGATTTTCTTATAATTTTATAGCATCATTCTCTTCATAATTAGCAATTCAGTTCATGGGAATATTATTGAATCTTAATATGATTAACAAGTTCTAACTTCTAATTAAGAAATTTTAAGTGATAAGTTTTTTTTGAACTACAACCTAAGGAAAAATTCAATTACTAAAAAATATACCAAAAAAACCACCCCAAAACACATCCTAAAAATCATGTTATCTATATTGACTATATTATTGTTGGTCACATTTAGAGAAGGTTGATGACTACTGTTGTGTTTTGATTCTTCTGCTCTATGATTTTTATAGCTTATGTTGTGGACTGGGGAGTCTTCATAGCTCTAAGGGCTATCTACAGAGCTAAGTAGTTACTATGGTTACTCTTGGCAGACTTAAAGCAAGAAAAAGGATAATACAAGAAAAGTAAAAAGCAAGGGAATTAGAGCATTTAGAAATAGAAGGAGAGAGAAAAAAGAAATATGCACTGGATCCTTGCTACTCATACTATAGTATATGGGGCTAGGAGACTGGGTTATCACCTGTCACTTCTTTAGAAATGAAGAATCTTGGGCCCACCTTAAGACCTACTAGATCAAAATCTTTGTTTTTCACAGTATTAACCAGATGATTCAAGTGTTTCTTAAGCTCAGGTTAGGCCCCTAAGGTGATTGCAGACACTTTATTTTGATAAATGTTTATATGAATTCACGTGAATCAGATTTAAAGACAAATACAGCATTTCAGAATTTTTATAGACTTTGCAGAGGTCACTTACCCAGAAACCAGAGCTATCAAAAATTCAGAGGCTGTGTTGGATGTAGCTCAGTGGCAAAGCACTTGCCTCACATTCACAAAGCCCGGGGTTCTATCCCTAGCCCCCAGTTCTAAAAAAGAAAAAAAAAAAAGAATTCAGAGACAAACATAAACAAAAAAGACCCTGCGTGGATAAATTAGTTCATGCTGACATAACTGGTAATAGGAGACCTCCTCAAGTCTTGATTTGGAGTTTCTATAAAATATTTTGCCATATTTTACATAATATAGTTCAAATAAGTCAAAGCCAGATGTGGGTGCACACCTGTAATCCCAGCAACTCAGGAAGCAGAAGCAGGAGGATCTCAAGTTCAAAGACAGCCTCAGCAATTTAGCAAGACGCATCTCAAAATTAAAAAAAAAAAAAAAAAACAACCTGGGGATATAGCTCAGTGATAGAATATCCCTGGGTTCAATCTCCTGTACCAAAAATTAGTTTCAATAAATTGAATAGAATATCAAAGATAGGATAATTACTGGATAATAACACATGCACAGTAACAAGAAATAACAGCAGAAGCTCAAAAAATATTGTAACCTGAGCTCTTTAAGTGGAGGCCAAAGATCTATGTAGCTAACATGATTCAGGGATGGTAATTTCAACAGTGTGCGAACATCATAAAGCCTACTTTCTAAACACCTGGATAGTGTGACTGTATCATAACTGGTAAAAATGACGTTTAAGAAGTTTGGAAAATAAATAATGAATTTTTTTTTCCTTTGCCATTTTTAAACCCATCTGCTTCTACCACTGTCTCTACTGGGTTGCTGTTTTCTTTTCTTCATTCTTCTAGCAATGAAATAGGAATTTAATGAATATAATAAAATAGCAGAGTTCACAGAAGAATCCAAAATTAACATAGAGTAGCATAAAGGAAAATATTCATGAAACATATGACCTGGTATTTAAACAAAGATCAAGAATGGCAGAGCTGCTGTACTTGAACATACAAGGAATTTGTAGTTGTACCTTTTACACTTTAGGAAGGTTATTCATTCATTCTTCCTCCCTTCCTTCCTTCCTCCCTCCTTCCCCCTTCCTTCCTTCCTTCCTTCCTTCCTTCCTTCCTTCCTTCCTTTTCTCCCTCTCTCTCCCTCCCTCCCTCCCTCTCTCTCTTTCTTTCTTTCCCAAGCCAGTGCCTTATAGAAAAACAAAAACAAAAACAAACAAACAAACAAACAACAAAAAAAACCCCCAAAACACACACAAAACCCACCACAACAGCTTTACTTTTTACAGGAATGGATTGAGAGGAGAAAAAAAAATCCAAAATAGGGCAGAGAAGTGTAGACTAAAAAATAAATATAAATGTAAGCTGTTTCGTACAGATGTAAGCTGTTTTGTTAATTGTTTCATAATTACAACAAACTAGTACAAAGACTGCCCTGCTGGACATGGTGAGGCACAACTACAATCCCAGCAACTCAGGAGGCTGAGGCAGGAGAATAGTAAGTTCAAAGCTAGCCTCAGCAATTTAGCACGGTTCTGGGAAACTTGGTGGGACCCTGTCTCAAAATAAAAATAAAATATCCCCATTACCAAAAAAAAAAAAGAAGAAGAAGAAGATTGAGATGTTCCCTCTGCCACACTGAAGATTTCGTCTCTCGCATTTGGAATTGAGTTTGCAGTCCTTTCTTTGAATGGGTCACTGGGTGTATGGCATAGTCCAGGGTTTTAAGCAGATTTAAACAGCAGAATGGCCACTGGACCCAGGCAGAAGTAGATGAGTGTTTGATTTCATGTACAACATAAACCACTGATATTCCTTCCCAAGATGCAATGCTGAAGGGGTTGTACTTCTTGCTAAACTTTTTTTTTTATGTTATATTTCTCTAGTGCCTCCATAACACACTCCCCCAAGTCCTGTTGCATCTCCTTTGACATGTCTGCATTTTTGATCACTGCTTTTCAGTTGCATAAGGTTACCTTGGTGTAAGGGCTGATTGACTGCAGCGGTCTCAAGAGGGAGGTGCTGGCATCCCTCAGGCCCAGAGGAGCTACCATTGTTACCAATGTTATGGCACATCTCTAGGAAGGTTTCTACTAAAATAATCAAATAACTTTTTAATGTTTTGGTATTTAAGAAGGTAAGCTCCAGGGAGCTGGAAAATTCAATAATGTAGAAAAACTCCTAAAGTCTGACTTGACAAAACCAGTAGTTCCACAGTAGTGAGTTCAGAGAGCAGCATGATATGATTGAGCAAATGGGAGGCTGGGAATAAAACATCTGAAATAGTGTCTTCTTTGCCTGGCTGATTTTACTGTGTAGTGATCTTGAATGTTGTATAACCTGACTGTAGTTACATCACCTGTAAATTAGAGATTGTGTCACAGTATGACAACATTGGTATGCATTTAACAGATTGACTAAGAAGTATCTTTCTGAACGTATCTGAAAGTATCTATCTATCTTTAAAGGAGTATGATAAAATCTCCATAGTAATTGATAGTGGGATCAATAGCTTCAGATTTTCTATTTCAATCCTTTCTTTTATAAATATAGGAATATTGTCACACATCTTTTATTTTTACTTGGAAGTTAAAATATTTAACCCTAGAATGTATGAGAAGAATTTTATTATTAACTTTTAAACCTTCATGAAACAACAGAAAATTATTTGAAATGAATGAATGAAATTGAAAATAATGGCAAATAAGTATTTGTCATAAAACCTTTGCCTTTTAGCTGTTAGTAAAAATACATCATGAAAGGAATAAACCTCAAAACTAAAAATCCACCCCTCCTTAAATAATTGTATATTCCAGGTAGATTAAGGTCCCCGAGGAAAAACAAGCAGATCTGCATTAGGAGCATTTATATAGGGTACAATTTCTCTTAGTGATATAGCATTAACAACTATTGAGAGTAGAAAAAAGCCTTTGAGATTTTCTGTTGTGTGTATTTAGAAGATGACATACTTAGTTGGAAATTTTGATAGAAATAATAGTGCTTTGGATAAAATTATTTATTATAAGCATTACTTTCTACTTTGGCATTAAGTTCCCCCTTTAAAAATTTCATCATTTGTATATCTTTATTTCCTTAGTAGCTGATTTAACTGATTACTTTAAAAAGTGGAAAAATTTATGGTTTCCTGAATTGTGTAACTAACGTTAAATTTGTTTAGGCATCCATGTTTTTATTTGAAAAATATGTATTTTAAAATATTCAAATATATATAGAATAAAGAATATTTGAATCTCAGATTCCTCATATCTTTGATTTAGGAAGCAAAATAGAAGAAAAAAGATGGAGTAGGAAAAGTTTAAAGGAAGTTAGAATTGAAATCATCATTTCTTTTATTTTTTTGTTCAAAATATTTTAAAGAATAGAAAAATCTAGATTTTAAAATATTATTTGTATATATATAAAAGTAATAATTAGCCAAAATTTATGTTTTAATAGAATATGTTTAGAGTTTAGC